TAATAATTTTTCTCTAAATTCTTTAATTTTCTATTCGAAAAATCCCTGTCGTTATTAAATCCTGAAATATTTCTCCAAAAATTTAATTTTAATATTAATTTTCTATTCTTCTCTCTCGATGAAAATTTCTTTCGAATTTTTTCACTCATCAAAATATTAAAGAACAATGCTTTCTGTTTTAATCTCACGCCTCGAAACGGATTTAAAAATCAGGATATCAAGCACGAGTCAAGTATTCACACGAATACACAATTATTCAATGTGGAGAATGTACCAGACCAGTGAAAAAATCCCGCGTCATAGGGAATTATGTAAATCAGGTTGCCTACCATGCCGTTTCACGTCGATTTAAAGTCGATTATAACATCTTTAACATTCGCGCGATCTCATCATAGTTTCGCAGATAGTAGAACTATTTGGATTATTTTTACATATCCTTTTACTTCCTCCGAATGTTGAACATTCTTCGAGTATTTTCTACAGAATTGATATCTCTTCTATTTACCAACGTTCTTGTAAACATTTTTCATATATTCGAAGGAATTTTCTTCTATGATTTTTATAAGAGCATTAGAAATAAGAGGAATAAAGAATTGCCAGAATTGATTAGTAGTGGAGATATAAATTTTTATTCGAATAATTATTCGAACAAAATAATTTTATTTCAATTTCTATTTGCTGTCTGGAATTTAATCTGGGAATAGTATAATTTAGAATTTATTTTAAATAATAATGTATTATCAAGTAAATTTAGTTTTTACTATTTCAAGTAATTTGTTTTTCTTTCTATTGTTACTCTTACTTTGAATAATATACATGAATATTGTATGGAATTCGAGTTATATGCAACAAATAATTCTTGACTTTACGTGTATAAAAATTAACAAATTTGACAAATAATAAAACTAACGAGTGTTTAAATCTTTTGCAATCCTCTTTTACGATAATTAAATCTATGATTCATTCATATTTCCAAACAAATTCATTCATATTAGACTCAGAATATCGATATAGTGAAATAAATAAAAATCCATATTGTACAATCAGTAATAAAATATTTCATTATCAGAGTAGTTAAATAATCAATTAAAACGATTAATAAAAATCCTATGGATAAAAGTTTCCATAAGAATAATTCCAAACTAAAACTAATTAAATCTGGAATGCATCATTTACAAGGGAATTCATATTAATAGCCAATAACGGAATACTACAGTAGTACAATAATTGAGTGAAAGAAAGGAAAGTAATGAAAATCCAATATATAAATAAATAAAATTTAAAAATAATTTCAATTAATTGAATCTGCGAAACATCTTTACAAAAGAAGAAGAAGAAAAAAGATAAATCCATATTTCACAATGTCCACCAAGTTTTTCATAAAAATGAAAACAATTCCAATTTCATTCAAAACGATCCAAATCATCGATGGAGAAACGTTTAAGGAAGGAAACAAGAATACATATTCTTTTGAATTTCTATCGTCGTCGAAAAATGTTCACGATAATCGCAGAAATGCGTAGAAAAGCCAAGATCGAACAGCAGAATCCGATTAGCTTGGTTCCACCAAGTTTCAGCAGTTTCAAGTTGAAGAAAATGGACTAATTTCCATGGGTTGGGGTAAAGGAAGTTGGTTTAAATTCTTAATGAGGCGGGCCTGCATCAGCGTGGATTCAGCTCTATTTTGTCGAGGTTTGGATAAATTATTGAGGTACTTTGGCGTAAAAACTCCGCCCGGAATTAGCCGCATTATGTGGCCGAAAGCTTAAATTAAGAAACGCATAATTTAAGTCGCGCTTGATTCAAGGTTTTATCCCTTGGAGATGATAACGAGATTCCTCCGATGAGATGGAAATTTTCAACGCATTCGAGATCGTGTCGAACAATCGATATAAATGCAAAGAAAAAAAAAAAAAAACTAGAAATGCAGGCAAGTTGAATACATATTCTTTAGTTGTTATAATCGATTACAAATTTTGAAAACGCAAAATTTAATATTAAGACAAAAGTGAAACATCGTTATCAATTATCAATTTTACTTCAATCGTCGTAAAGACTTCACTTCTCACTCTCTCATTTCATAGTAAAAAAAAAAAAAGGTTTACAGAAAAATTCAATTCAGAGACGTGAAAGTAACACACGCAGACTGTAAAAATCTCTTTTAATAATTAAATAACGAATAGTTATATATTACCCATTGAACGGATCGAATCTCGTTAAATTCGTTTCTTCCATCCCCTTTTAAAGGAACAATTGAACAGGGTCAAGTAAACGAAGCGGTAGACAGTGGCGCCACTTGAAATCGCGCCCTTTAAATTGAATATTCCTCTGCACAAGGGAAATCGGTGATTACGACGATCCTCGTCTCGAGGGAGGAAGATTTGCTCTCGATGGCCACCGGCGTGTATCCGCGCCGGCATTTGGACTTGCGCCAACCGCTTTGCAAATCCCTGTATTTCGGATCCACCTCCCTTCCTCCCCCATTTTTTCTTCCTCCTTCTCTTTCTCGAAACGCGCGTAAAACGTTTCTATCCTGATTAATCGGATCGGCCGCGTGGCATTCAGATTTCGAGGGAAACGAGATCACCTCGAGCGATGAAGACGGGCGCGGAAAGTTGCGGAAGAGCGGCGATTATTCCGCGGAAAATGGAGGAAAATCTGGCAGGAGGACGGATAAAAGTTCATCTAACTTTACTCAACGTTGTTTTAACGAACAACCAAGCGTGACTTTCATCCTTTTCTTCCATTTTTAAATTTTTCTTTTTTTTTTTTTTTGAGAAATGGACTTCTTTCGCCGATTCTTCTTCTTTTATCGATTATTTAAAACGCGTATTTGATCTTTTTCCGTTTTGGAGAGGTGTTTTATACTGTTTTTTTTTTTTTGATGGAATATCTGTTTTAATTATAATGGAGAATATTTAGAGAAGAGCGAAATAAAGAATGGATGAAAAAAAAAAATGTTGAATTAATGTTTTAAACTTTTTCGAGATTATTGGAGCAATATTGTCAAAGTTTATTTAACGACGGTAGAGCAGTTATAATATTATTATTGAGATAAATCTTGATTGGGGACGAGATGATTGAAAATTAAACTCATTCGTTCATTAAAAGAAATATTGTCAAACCATCATATTTATATAAGTAATCAAGATTTGAAATTAAAACTACTATTGAACAAATTAAGAGTCTCGAATCTGGTATAAAAAATTTCTAAACAAACGTGTAATAAATAATTAATTCAATATCAATATTATAATTTCAATAGAACAATTTTTTTTTAAAATTACTCGTCAATGAAAAGATCAGCATTAAAAATCAAAGCAATTATAGTTTCCTTGACACGTGATTCATGCAAGCGGTGGTCGAGTCCAGCGGAAAATTCTTCAGTGAATTTCATCTAAACTTTCGAATCACGGTATCAAGTTGTAAAGTGAATTTAAAGCTAAACTCGAAGTGGCTTCGATCGTGCATTCTCACCGACACACCAGCCAAACACCCTGTCTTTGTATGCAAGTTACTTTGGTATTCCGGAAGTTGATCTGGACGCGGCTGCGGGCGAGGACAGGAAACGTCTTCTTGCGTTGCTGGCCGGAACCAGTCTTCGATTGTTAGGTTGTTTCCTGCTCGAATTTATCACTCTATCATCCTAGAAAAAATGTCGTCAACCTTCACGACAATCGTACCTTTTCGCTCTTTCTAAAGATCTCTTTCGCCATCTTTCTATTTCAATAATGTTTATAGATTAATTGGAATTAATATTCGTAGAATTTTTGTGTTATTAATGTAATCGATATCTTTAGAATTTTTAGAATTCAAATGAGCTAACAAGTTTGCTATTTGATCGAGAGTACATATTCAAATATCGTCCAACAGGACAGCAAGATGTATAGATGTCTAGGACTGAAGATCTTGTTGATCAACTAATCAACGTACATCTTGGTTGATATTCCATGGTATCAGTAATTCCATTAATCTGATGAAATTTGATCAGTTGAGTCTTGTTCGTTAAAATTTTTTATCAGTCAGTCGATCTCTAATCGTCATTCAAAAAAATCGTCTGTGTAAAATTAAATTTGAAATGAAACGAACGATTCGGATTTATGCAACTTGATTTAAAAGGCTATCTTTCAACCGACCAATCGAATTAATCATCTTCGAATCGTACATTTTATCTGATTGAAATTTATCAAATTACAATCTCAATTGGATTCGATTGACTGACTAAGAGTTAATGCAAATTAAATACAAATATACCTAATACAAATTATCAAAAAAAAAAAAATACTTTTAATTCCATGATAAACCAAGATTAATATTTGTCAATTTTTAAAAAGCAAAATCTAACATATTTCCGGAAATGAGTGTTGCACCATGATTTATATAATAATACATGCATATATATAAAATATAAGAATAATCGTATCCAAATATTTTTCCTTCAATTTTATTTTTCAGTGCAAGCTGACGGATACAGTTTATAAAATTCTAACAATTATATACACGTAAATCTAATCATCTCTACCGATAACACTGAGACACGATGATGGTGCAACGTTTTGACGTTCGAAAGTAAACATTAAAAGTACAAAATTATTCCCTCCCACAATTTGAATGTCTACGGCGTGGTGTGGAGGGAGGGGGAGGGGAAGAAGCGGGCATAAAATCGCGAGGAATTTAATTCAAATTCTTCTTTGAGGAACAAAACGTAACGCGATAAATATCTGGCAAAGTGGAAGCCGGTTGGCGCGGGTTCCACACAGGGCAAAATAAATTACACACGGTACAAAAGAAACCGTCGCTTTAAATTACACGAGTTTATTAACGAGCTGCAAGCTTACATCTAATGTAGGCTAGGTGAAACCGTTAAATGGAAATCTACATCGTTCCACAAGTGTCTATTATTAAAGATTAAATCTAAAACTTAATATTACTGGATTACTTCTATTACGTCTAATCTCCTCCGGAAAAGAAAAAAAAAAAAAATTCCACGATCGATCACGTTTTTCTTTTTCTCCTTTCCTCTTTTCTCCCCGTGTTGCTTGATAACTTTCCACCTGGGCCGAACGAACGTTCAATTTATTCGGTATTGCCGAAGAATTCCGAGATTCGTGGATAAATCCTTTTCTTCGCGCGTAAATACTCGACTATGGAATCCTCGCTGATCGTTTTCTCGATAATCTCAGGGAAAGGAATACCGATAATATCCTCGTACAATTCCTCGGCGGTTTTACCAATGATGGGGAAGCAAGGGTGCCGAGCTGCTTGCTTCACCCTTTTCTTTATTTTTTTCGATAATTTTTCCAGTAACTCCTCGTGCATTTCCTCTTCACCCACTTCTTCCTCTTCCTTCTTGGGAAGTAACTTCACTGGGGTCTTCCTGATTTTCCTGGAAGAATAATTGAAAACCGTTACGCTTTGCGACTGAATCGATGTATCAAAGATTAACGGTATATGTATGTAATTCTAATTCTATTTCTAAGAGTAACGCTATTAAAATTCAAAAATATTTGAACCGCTATAACTCGGAGGATAATGATTTCCGGACAACGAATGAACGATCATTCGAAACGCGGAACCTTGCCCTTTAAAACTCTTTTTCGTTTACGTCGATACGATTTCCGGTTCTCGAGATATCATCGTGTAAAGAGAAGATAATTTTCGATCGTTTGCCTTAAACCGGATCAAACGCTATTAAAATTGGAAAAAATTTGAACCGCTATAATTCCGAAGATAATAACTTCCGGTTGATCAGCGAGCGATCATCGAAAGCGCGGAATCTTCCCCTTTAAAATGCTTTTTTGTTTATCCCGATACGACTTCCGGTTCCCGAGATATCGTCGTGTAAAGGAAAAGGTAATTTTTTAATCGTTTAATATCTCCTTCCTTATCGGTTTATTCGGACCTCTCGCTCGTTCCTCGTCTCATTGACCTATCCCAAACTCCAGACAAGCGGCAGACGTGATTCTTGGAAAAACGTAGTACGCATTTCCAGGAAACACTAGATTACGAGTCCATTCATAATCTCTCCACTGTATTAAGCGCCGTGGAAACTTCGAATCGTTATATCTCGGCCACCGATTAAGATATCGGGATGAATCAAAAAGCGAGTTCAACGATGCGATTTTCTCTATTTTTTGAATATATTTTGATGACGAAATTTGTGATTTTTTTCTCACGTTTTTTTACACGTGTAATTGAATATAAATCGTTTCATTTATCACTTTTAACGTAAATACCATGTTTTACGATAATTTAAAATATATAGAATAGATTTTCATAATAAAAATTAAAATAAATAATGAATATTAAATGAATAGAATTGTTACAGTTGTAATTAATTATTTGTTTGCATGTAGAAGACGTAATAACATAATACAACATAAACATAGTATTAAATCTTGTTAGTCTTTGCTGGTATACAAATTTATCGTGTGTATATAAATTTGTTTGTCTGCTTACGAATATGTTCGAATGAAATAAATCTTCTCCAAGCTAACGGAGCTAAAATGTTCTGACCAAATGGAACACTATTACATCTGGGATAAAGAGATTAATCTACCTTTGACTTGAAAGAGAAATGAAAGAAAATTGTAAATTGATGTTTTCCTGCATACCCTACAATTCCGCGGGACTACCATCTGTATAAAACACGATGGAACAGGACGAAGAAATTTCGATTAACTTTTTTCCTCAAGATCAGGCTTCTTGATCTTTCTTGGGAGAATAAATGGAAAGTTTTTCTTGAATCACCAATTCAAATTGCGGACTATGCATAACAAAAAGGCTAAGCTTCACGTGTTGTCGAATCATTTGAACTTAATACCAGTGAACCAGAAATTCAAATTCCTCGTGTAGAAAATCGATCGCGTGATATCGATTAAATAAATTCTTCTCTCGATCAAAAATATTTCCCGTGTTATCAGAAATGATCAAGTTATCAAAAAAATCATCTTGGTGCAAGCAACTGTAACACTTTGATGGAAAACATTCAAATATTATTTACTTTTCAATCGCCACTGAATAATACGTCTCAATCATTCCAATCTTTAACTATCAAGCTAAACCACTTTTTTAAAATATACACTCGACTGAATGAAAATATCTTCAATTTTCAAAGAATAGTCTCTAAATCTTGAAAAAAAGCACAATTACCGTAAATACCGATATCTTATCTAATTTTCCAACCAATCTTTTACATTAATCTTACCTCTTCCTCGGGTTCTTATATATCTTGCGATGCTTTTTCTTCATTTGAGCCAATTTGATCTCCGCCTTGGCTCTTAACACATCTTCTTTGAGCTCGGTAGGCGGCGCCTGTATCTTCATAATAATCAATTGTTCCTTCTCACGCTTCCGTTTAGCAGCCTCCGTTTCATGTTTCTTCACTTTCTTTCTCCTTCTCACCCTCGCCCCCCGTTTCAAACAGCACACTTTCGGCTTACAAATCACGTCCTTGCAGGGATCCGGCAATTTCAGTTTCACCGTCTTTGGCTTCACCTTCTCCACCTTCTTCTTGTGCATTATCTCGGGTATTATCTTCTCCAACTCCTTCTTGATCAACACATCGGTTATTTTAGACGGTACTTTCAATACGGACGTCGGTTTCTTCTTCGGTATCTTTTTCACGAGCTTTTCCCTCCGAACCTTCAACAGCTCCCGTTTCGTCACTTCCGATTTCTCAGGGATATCGATCACCGGCTCAGACGGTTTCCGCCTCTTGTCACTTTTCTTCACCTGCATCGACACGGTCAACGGGATGATGTCGGGATCATCGTCCGCGTACTGCTCCAATTCCTGTAAATTAAAGACGATGAAATGCTTATTTGTCCAGCTAATTTATATCTCGTCAGATAAAACGAGCCAGGCATAATCTAATGGAATAAGAAAAGCATTGAAAGGACTGTACAAGTGTTCATCAGATATATTATGCTTGTACCTAATTATTTCATAGATGCTTATTATATTTATTAAAGGAAAATTAGAAGATATTTCGATAAGTTACATTCGTTATCATAATTTTTTATCTCCTTAGAAGAGAATGTCACTTGTGGGATCTAATAATCGGTATTAGTAATCTCGATTCAAAATTTCTTAGAAGAAAAATTCGAAAAGGGAATCGAGGAGGAACTTACTTTCTCCACAATTTCAAAGTATTTTCTTTCAGCTTCCATAAGTTCCGGGGCATCCGAGTCCCGTATCTTTTTCCTGTCCTTCACAACCTTCTCCCGTTCTTTCACCTGCGTCACTCTCGTGTCCCTCTCCTTCCTCTTAACTTTCTCCTTCAATTTCTTCTTCTCTTCCTCCTCCTCCTCTTTAATCGCTATCATCAATTTGATTTCCTTTAATCGTATATCCACTCCCTTTGTCAATTTCGAACACCTCTCTAAATACTAACGAAAGAAAGAAATATATTTGGGATTGATTACCAATTTGAAGTTGCATTATTAATTGAAAATCCTCCTCAAATTCGTGATATCACTTTATATCACCAATATAAAGAATAGCTTGTAATTACAGTCAATATGATAATTATATTAATAAAATTGATATTAATAAAATTAAGATTCCAATTCCTCGTACTCTATTTAATTTAAACGAACGAGAAAATATGTCTGATATGAATATACATTATTAAGAAATAGAACGGAGGTCTCGCAATTGAGAAATTTTTTTTAAATGCACCTAAATTAAAAGCTTACTTCCGAGAAGAAAGTCCTGTCCCTTCTGCTGAACGTGGTGAAGAATTCACCGGGTTCGACGAGGTACACATTTCCTGTATAACTTCCAATAGCGACAACCGGCTCCTCCTCGGAGGGCACGATGCAATTGAGCTTATTGTGGCTTAACTGCAATTCAAAAATCGGTTGTCGAATGGATTGCAGAATGTCGTACACTATCATCTTCCCGTCGTCGGTCGTAATGTAGAAACAGGAGGATCTGGTCTTGCTCCAACACCCGTCCGTCGGATGAACCTGGAAACTTTGAACGGACGTGCAAGTTAAATAATTGACGATCTTATTATAAATATAATAAAAACGGAAAGAGAAAAATGAAACTTTGTCAATCTCAAAATAGCAAACGTTAAATTTTTCATTTATTACGATATTGAATTACCATAATTTATAATTTCATTTCTAACAGAACCTACAAACGAGCATTTTTATCCGCACAGAAATGTCTAGATCTTAACCCTTTCCAGGCCTTTTTCGCTCACAACTCCAACACACGATAGCCAACTTAAAATGATTTCATAAATTAACCTTCATAAAAATTTGTTGAATATTAAAGTCTACATTATTGCTTCGTATTTGATATTTTAATAGTAATTACTTAAGATGCATCTTCGGTTTGTTCAGGACAAGTTTTTTAACGAGTAGAAATAATTTCGTTATTTGATAACAAAAAATCAAACTCGGTCACTAATTCTAATTTCAGATAAAAAAAAAATCTAACCATAAATAAATATTGTCGAATTGGAGTGCAAAGACACTTAATTAATTAATCAAATAATCGTGCGTACCGAGTGGAAATCAGGCCCTCCTCCCTTGTGTCTTCCATCCATATCCGCACCCTCCAGTCGCCCACGGAGAGGAACAGGGACGGGGTGAAGGTGCTTCGATCGACGGCTTTCACCAACTCGGAGTGAGCGTCGAACCTAACCGAGAGCTTCTCCGCGTTCGTTCTCGCTTTCTTCGAGCCGGATATGATGATGCCGTTGTCCAAGCCGAACATGAACTTGGTGCCGATCATCGGCAAGTAATTCACGCTCGAGATGCCGATCGCCCTGTTTATTTGAGGATGGTTCGGGTCCTCGAGATCGACTATCAGAACCTCGGTCGGTTGCTTTAGGGATCGCGTGTCCCACCACATCGCGCAACCGTCGTACGACGTGGAGAAAAATTCCGTGTTCGTCTTGGACGGTATCCATTTCACTTTGTTCGCTATGTCCCTGGAAACGGACGAAAAGGATGGAAATGGTTCGATGGAAAGATGGATGATATTTGTTACTTTTTTTTTTCTATTTTGCTTGAATTAAAAAGAGATTTCCAGGGGAAAGAGTGATGGAAATATACACGATTTAAAAAGTGTCCTCTCCCATTGAAAAATTATATTTGAATTTTATCGATCGACTCGCAGGATGATATAAGCTCAAATTAAAAGAGTGCTCGAATGTTAGTTTTTTCTTTTTTTTTTTTTTTTTTCGTAGTATGAATCTTCACGAATCCTCGAAGCAACACACGATTACTCTTACTCTATCTTCAAATCCCAAAGCTAGAAGAGAAGCTCAATAAAGGCAACCCATGTATGTACACGTGTATCAACACGAAGCAAAATGAAACCTACTGCGGACGAGGTTACACTGGTTTACGGATAAACAAAGAAATTCCTCGATATTAAAGACTTTGAAATAAAGGATCCTCCGAAGATTAAAACGTCCACCTGCTCGGTGGAAAATTAATTATTTTAAAACAGTTTCTGATTAACAAGATTAAATTACAGTCTCGTAATACATAATTGATCCCTTGATGTTACAATATATCTTCTAAAATCTTACGTTTAAACAGTTTCACAAGAAATAATTTAATAGGAATTTTTATCTGAAACGAGTCACACGCCCGAGAAGAGAAAAAGAAAGAAAGAAAGATATTTCGTTCTTCTTACCTGTGACTGTATCGCGGATGAGAGCTTTGAACAGGCTTGATCCCGGTTCTGGTGTCCCAGCTGTTGACTTGGCCCGATATATGACTGCTGGCAAGGATGGAGAGATCCCTTGGACTGTATTCGCAACAGACGCACGGGGAGATTGGCTCCAGGCCCATGTAAGGTTTGGTGGGATTCTCTACTCGTAAAATCGCGTGGGCGTATTTCGTAATCCGGATTATGCGATATAGAAGATGGAGAAGAGAAAGGAGAGAGAGAGAGAGGATGGGATCTGGATGGAACGAGGAGAAGAGTGATCTTCATCGATTCAATTCTTCGTGACGAGTATTTTGCGTGTCTTCTTCGTGTTGGATTTAAGCCATCGCCAAATCGCGCGACGTGGTGGCTTTTATATACCGCGTTATATACGCTTCCTTTCATAGCGATTTTATGGCGATGTTTATGAATGCAAGTTTCCCCTCTTTTTCTCCCGAGTTCAGCAGCATTAGAAATGATTTCGTATGTGTGTGTGTGTGTACAATTTAATTACTTTCGAACGTGTAATTCATGTAAGTTTATCGAAAGTATATAATAATAATAATTGAGGGAAAGTGAAAAGTGTAATTACATGGTACTAATTTGATATTATTCCGATGATCAATCGTGCCTAATAACTGGCAATTTAATTGAAAAATTACGTTCAGAAAAGTAGAGTTTGTAGAAATTCATATTTTTGAAATGGGAAAATAAATTTAAGGGGCTTACAACGCGAGACGCTTATATATAAAATAGTTTGAAAAATGAATCTGACGTTTCATCGTCTTTTTGCACCACGCTTTTCTCCCTCCGTATTAAAATAAATAACGAAATTTGGTGAGATTTCCTAAATGAATGATCGTAGTATCGCCCCTTGTCGATAATCTAAAACGATGTAAACGAGAATGTTAATACTACAATCTTACTTTTCTTCTACCTACCGACGTGCCAGATGTACACCGTTTTACTGTAATCAACCTCCCTCCCATAGGTCAAGAAACAATACGATACCGCCAATCTGTTCGACGTATCGGCGGACCAAGAAATATTCGTCACAGGCCTCCTGGGTATATCTGGATCTCTGTACACGTTCACGGTTCTGAAAAGCGATTTCCAGAGAGATCATCTCGCCATCTTTGCATTTCTGGCACGGACGATCTGGATGACAAACAGCTCGAGATAAGGTGCCGCGCCACCTTCAGAATGATCGAGATCAATTCGAGGAATGATTTATCGGCGAGTCTATGAATTTTCCTTTTTTGAAAAATTATATTTAAAATTCTACGTATAATAGATTTTAGTCAGTCGACTTTTTAGATAATTATAAGAAGATCTTTTTTCTTCGCCATGAAAAGTCCAAGTCTCTCTACGCGTGACGTAAAGAGAAGTTGAAATTGGATTTAATTTCAATTGAACGTCGCTCACCTGAAGCTGTAGGTCTGTGTCAACGGTGTTGGTATCATGTCGTCGAAATAATGCTGGTGAATGTTCACTGTACCGTTCTGGAGAATAGCGTGCTCCATGACCTGGGAAAAAATTTAATCTAACAGTTCCTGATCAAACCCGAACCATCAGCACTATTTTCTTTCTTCAGCTACTCGTGGTTAAATCTTCGTGGCCAATTGATTGGACCGGGGTTAAAAATTATCGGGAACGAAATTGGAAGAAAATATTCGAACAAACCTCGAACATGGGAAGCAGTTTCGGTGCCCAATTGTCGTCCTTCTCAACCCTTCTGCGAAATCTGGACGTGGTCTCCTCGTCCCGTGGATTGATATCCTTCGGCCATCCGCCCTCGAAATGAAACATCCCCGTGTTCTTCGACAGCTTGACGTCCGTTTGAATCTGAATTTTTCAACGAAAATCACTCGTCCGATAATTTTTACACGACGATTCTTCTTCCTCCCCGCGGTTTTGTCGCGCGAAAAACTCGTTTCAAGGATCCAATTGATATTCCACGCGCGTCCCGCGGGAGGCTCGATAGGTTGTTAATGGCCAAATTATCCGGTTTTGCGCTTGTTATGTTAATCGGTATGCGTAATACGATTTTCGACGTGTCCAGATAACGATTATCGTGTGCTTTTCGATATTGGTTATTAATACACTTTTGCTGTTATCGACCGAAACTTTGGAATTATTAACACGTTAAATTTGAGTAACCTAGAGTTTCGTTTGTATCGAAGAATTTTTTTTTTTTCTTTTGTCGAGAATTAAGTGAAATGATGTAATAATACCTGTTCTCAGAGATAAAGGAAGAGGTAATAAAAATATATTAATAAACGATGAAAGATATCTTTGGAAAAATTAGAGAATATTAGCAAGTATGTATATCGTGAAATATTAAGCGTATTCAGAATTATTATTACAATAAATCACGATTGATTCGAATGAAATCAGTATAATTGAATCCTTTCGTTTATTCGTTCCCTTTCGAAATTTTGCAAACCAGAAAAGGGGGTAATCTCGAACAAAGTTTCCATGCTTTCAACGAGTTGATACGGCTTTTGTTATCGCGACAAACACCCAGTTTTCGAAATAAATAAACTTCTTTGTTCACGAGGATTTTTTTTACAAGCGACGGAACAAATTGCTTCTCCAATTTTCGCGCTTCCTTGAATCTTAGGCTTTCCATTTCTTTCCTTTTTTTTTTTTTTTTATTAACTCTCGTTCCTTCGAGAGAACAAAGAATATGAAGTTATCTAATCCGTCGAGAAACGAGTACAAAAGATATCTGATCCACGATACCGTTCGAGTTTCGTGAGCTTTTCGAGTTACATTGTCGAGTTACTTTATCTCGATCGTTCTTCACCTACGTGGAAACGAAATTGAATAAATTAATCTGTGGGTGAAAGGATTGGTAAAGTGTTTTTGCAAATTCATCGAAGAAAATTTTTTATTCACTATTTTAATCCTTAATCCTTTCCTAATTGTTGTTACTCGAACCCAAAGTTAAAGTGAGATGAGAGATCGTTGAGAAATAAAACAAGCATTATTTTTGTTCTAAATAATGATTATAAATGATGATTTCTGCGTGAGAAGTTCTTATCGAAGAAAAGCATATTTACGAGAGAAAATAATAATAACACATTTATGGTAAATCGAATTTTTAATCGATCACTCGTCCATCATTCCATTACTTGTTGTATTTCCGCAACTATCCTCCACCTCTCCATTACTAGGAAAAAAATCAAATCGTGCAACTCTGTCACTTCTCCTCTCCACCTCTCGTTTTCATTCCAAACGATAAAAAAGCATCCGAATAAATGCCAAAAAAATTTCAAAAATGAAAGAAACCGAAAAGAGATTCATCTCGTCGAACGAATAACCAAAGCCTTGTCTCGTTTAAGCCTTTGATAAACAGGAGGTTCGTTAACAGTCTCGAAGAGAACCATGCTCGAAGAGAAAAAGAAAGACAAAGGTTGAATGCAAACGTATCTCTAACAACCTGTCGATCTAACCTGATGCAATGCCAATTGGGCGGTATTTTGAATGCCGACGTTGCACTCGTTCTTCAAGATGAAGGCGTTCATTTCGGCCGGCTTCGGCGATATTTCGGCGTCCATTGTCGGCTCCCGGATATTGAAGATGCATTGCTTGCCGAATTCGGCCCGGGTTTTCACGTACACCTTTCTGATCTCCATTCCGACCGACCTGAGGGATAAAGTAACAATAATAACAAGTTGTGAGAGAGAAAAAAAAATGTCAAGATTCGGAATTTCGAATTTGTGAATAAAGATGCGGGGATTAATTGGGAGAAAAATAAACTCTGCACAACTCTGCTCGTCGATCAACCGAACGACCAAACGAATAATCGAATAATTGAAATGAGATAAAATTGAAATTTCGACCGAGCGTGAATTTAAATAAAAAATACGGCGTGTCTAACCTGATTTAACGGAATAGAGAAGCAATCCTGAGAAAAATCCAACACCTCTTTAACCTTTTCCCCCTGTTCCGTGGCGCTGCCGGGGTCAAAGAGCGACGCGATAATTCGTCGTGTCTGTAACGCTTGCACGCGGACCGTTTCACCGTGAAGCGAAGAGAGGCGGCAAGTGTTGAAAGATTCATGAATTCACGAAGCGAATAAAGTTCCGGGCGGAACGATATTTGCCTTGTTTCGACAAACAAGCCGAGAATTCGACTGAGAAGATTCACACGTGCGAGCGCCCTCCAGCGGCGTCTCTCTCTCCTTTCTCACATCCTCTTTACGTGTGAATCGAGCATAAATAGAAGCTGGGCGCCGAGGGCGGGGGTCCGATCGTGGCTGCTGCCCTTTCGAACCGCCTTTCTGCCTGAACGTAGCCATTTCGTCCATCTGCGAGTTGGTTATCGAAGTGCGCTCAAAACGTGTATTTTCTTTCTTGTGTTTTGTTCAACTCGCTCGAAAAGAAATCGAAGGAAATTGGTTAAAATATTTGATTCGACCACGGGTTGTAGATATTTTTATATTTTTTAGTGGAAAATCTCCGCGTTCAAAAAGAGAGGAAAATGCATTGGAACTTTATATTGGTTTCGATATTTATTTATTTTTCTGGCTGGAATACAGTTTTAATGGATCGATTGTAAAAACCGTCTACTTCTGTTCCTTTCCTCTGATATCTGGACAGATCGAATCGATTTTTTTTTGTCGGTCCAGAACGACGGGCGATGGTAGTTGAGCGAATTTCAATGGAGGGCGGTAATTAAGACATTTCTTATCCCAATTACCTTTCCACGTCCCGATGAAAATGTTGAATTAGCGCAACAGTGAATTTTGCGCGTAACCAATTAATCATCCCAAACTATTCTCGAGTGAAATTGAATACTTGAGTTTCTTTGCAACACTTTTCTATAAATTAAACAGCAATACACGTGTCTTGCAAAATGTTTATATTAAAATTTTAATTGGGAATCTTCTTCCATTTCAAGAATTTGAAAACTAAACCAAAAGATTCGTATTTATCTAGAAATAGATCTATACGTATATATCTGTAGCTCTAATTAATAATAAACAAAATTCAATAAAAATGCTTGTGAATGTAACATTCACGATCGAATACTTCTTTGAAATTGATTTGAAAAAGATTCGAGTGTTGCTCGAAATCTTTCCATCTGCCTTCGAAAGAAATGGAGCATCAGAGGTCGAAAAATGAAAAACCTGTTTGTTTCTGTCGATAATTTTTCCGATCGGGCCATAAAACCACGAACCCTTATACTCAGCAATCTGTAAAAGTGAGCCGAGGAGGGGGAGGGCCGACAGAAGATTGCAATCAAGGCTTCTCAATTCTTTGCTAATACTTGCTTCATCAAGAACCGCTGATGCAATCATTCTGTCTTAACGAATCGATCGTTTCACATTATTGAGGTTCGTTGCTTGCGCGTGAAGTTGCATTCGCGTCACGCTTCCCACGATGAAAGATTTCCTCCTCCAACTTTAATACCCCCGATATGTCATGAGAAGAGATATTAAAAATCGTTCCTTTTAGCGGGGCACTACTTTAATATATGATTCTTATAATAGAAATTTTGCCCCTATATTTCCTTCTATACTTTCTCTGACCGATATTTCTCGAATTATACTTTTTATCCTTTTCTTATATATTTTCTTGAGAAAGTAGAAAGATCCGTGAAAAAATTTATCTCAGATTTTCTGGTATTAATTCTCGATTATTTTTTTTTTTTTTTTTTTTTGTCTTTATGATCAATCAGAATTTATATAAGACACAAAATTCAGTATTTATTTAAAATACAATAATCGAATTTAATTTTGAACAATTTATAAAAAATAATAATCAATCATATATAAATAATTCTAAATTGATGTTCTACCGTTATTATAAATTGATACAAAGTATCTAAAATAAAGAAATTGTCAACCTACGTACAATTCAATATATTAAATGAACAGAAAAAAGTATTTCACCTTATTTTTTGAAATAATAAACTTCAACGTCATTCGTTTCCAATTCCAAATCCTCATCATTTAAATAACACAAAATAATCGTCCAATTCTCGTTAAGTTAAATAAGAAACTTCGAAATAGTCACCGCATAATTAATTACAACCATGAATCAATAACCGTGAACGCATAAAATTACGCAAAATGCCTCCACGCCGTTTAACATTCGCGGGTGGCCGATAATCACAGAAATTACCCCGCCATTTCCGGTGGATACATAATAATTCCTCGTACAATCGAGGAAAATAATTTCTATTAATCGATCCTGGCTTTAATCATAAATCGAATCGCGCTCGCTGTTATCCTCGAAAATTACAGGTCGACGCGAAAGGCTGCCTCTAATCGCTCTCGAAAGTCGGGCAACTTTCACGTTAGACGTATGCCCAATTTATTCGAATGCTACGCGGTATGATAGCTGATTGTTCAATGAAAGGATGTTGGCGAACTGGAAATTATTCGTCGAGATTTTTGAAATTGATTTCTATCTTCTCAAAGTTATCTTATGTGCGTATATATAAATGAAAAGTTGTAAATATAATTTGAAATTGGCATAAAATGATATTATGATTATATTCTTTTAATACGTCGATCAATCAAAATAAATAAGTGACGTTTCAAATAATAATTCTTTACAACTTTTTCACTATATGTCGCAGAATAAATGTTCAAATTTGTTTGTCTGCAAAATTTTATCCTTCGACTCGTAACAATCCTCTGAGTAAAAATAAAAGCAAAGGCCAATGAATTTCGTATGAAGTTAATTCTCTCGCAAAGAAATCGATACGCACGCACGTATGCATTGGTTGTTAAAGTTTAACAACCGTGGATTCTGGATAATTCCCCTCTGGAAAATCCAAAGCGTCACTGCGGCATAAACTAAATCCGCAACCAGTCGAAATATCGAAATACTTTTACGTTCGCTTATTTTTCATCGGTTCGTCAATTACAATTCCTTTGGATCGTCACTCGTCACGGTTAGTCGTTTCAAAAGTTTCAAAAGTTTCCTCCTCCGCTTTTATTATACGAATCTCCCTCTGGAACCTTTATGACTAAGTATCGGTGATCGGGTTGAATCGCATTATACTGGCTATACGAAAGCTACTTGCACGTACAATAAGTAATAATCGTCCTCTTTATGCTCGAATCTGTTTGTAAAATGTTGTTTGAGTAAGCAAAAAAAGCAAAAGTTGAAAGATGTTTTATAATTAAATTAAATTCTGACGTAAAACAGGATGATATTTTAAACAAAGTATCCTTTCATTTCTACATTTCGGGTCTCTGAATTGTCAAATTTTAATGGCCAATTTGATTATTATAAATCCTAGAATAAATATAAATACTGTAACTTTCACGATTTTTTCGCTCCTAAACCAACATTTGCTTGGCCAAAGCTCGCTTCGAAAACAAAAATTGTACAACTGTATCCCCGACTGATTATTAGAAATCGCACCTTTTTTATCCTCTCAACGATGACTCCTATGCGAAAATCCTGATAAACCATTGCTCTCATCAGCTAATGCACACGAACGTTATGTACGAACGTCCAGTTTGTGTGACTTTCTCGTTCTCGATTGAACGCATCGTCGAGGGGGGAAAAAAAAGAAGGATTTTTCGATTGTGTTTCTCTCTCTTTCTCCCCCACCCCCCTTTTCACGAGCCGGCTTGATAAGCCAGCGAAATTGAAATTCGAATGAGGGAGATCGAGTATATACCGAGTTTCCCCAGGATTCCCTCCACCACAGGTTGTTTACAGGGCGATACAACCATCGTGGCCATCGAAGCGGCTTTATGGCTCGAGCATTCCCCGGATTCGAAGTATTGTATCAGCTGCTAATTTCCGTGTTCACTAGCTCAAAGGTTAATTCTGATCGAATCAATGGCTTTTTGGGTTAATGGGCCGCGTTTGAGGCGGTGTTATTTGAGATATGCGTTTACACGTGTAAAGATTTAAATCGATCGAGCTCGAATATATCCGACGATATAATAAAAGTGGAACGGTCTGTTAAGTTTTGAAATTTGTAAATTATATATTAACAGACGATGATAAAAATAATGTTATGTCACTTACCTTGCTGATAATATACATCGTTTGAAAAATGTTGATAGTTCTGTAAAAGTTCTATATATATAAAATTTAATATTGTTTATTATTATAATATATCCAAATATATATATATACAATAATTATTACTCGCTTTAATATAAAGTATCTTATCAAGTATAAAAACCGATAATTTCATTACAATTAAAATCCCATATAAATTTCCCCCATTTATCCCCATAAAGTTTTTCCTAGCAAATAATATTCGAAATATTATCAAAAAGAAAAAGATCAAGGAGTAGAAAAATAAAATTAAAAGAAATTTCGATCGATCAATAACAATCTATAAAAAAATATACGATATTCAATCATTAAGAGTAAAAATTCAAAATTCGACAAATATCCGCGTAAAAATTTGTTCGAATACACGTGACTTTTATCTCCAACGAGAAAAGTTATTAATCGCGTATCAAATGTATGCGACCAAATTCTCCAGATGACAGACGATTCGAGAATGGGCAGACTAACTGGCACTTAGGCTTTCAACCGGAAGCCGCAAATTACGTGGCCACTTTGCATCGATGCGCAACTATCATCCCAGGCATGCATAATTAATCAGAAGAGCATCATCTCGATGAATGGTCAAAATACGCGCGATTTGTTTCCAATGATTCTTTGGTCCCAACTTTGATGAAACTTTCTGAGAAAAAGATCAAAATTTTTTTTTATGATAATGATACTCTGAGAAAAGTATATTTTTATTTATTTACTTATCTCAAGTTTAGAATAATTATGTAAAGCAGTGACTATAAGAAAATGATTTTTAATTAGTCAAAAATTTTTATATATATATAGTTGTATATTCAGAGTTGAATATTCTAAATGTTATACATAATTGATTGATCAATTTCTGAAAACCGACTATAGTTGGCGCTAGTATCCATGGATAATTAGCATTCGTATTCACACGTCTTTGTGTTGTGAATGTTAACTAGTGCATTAGAAATGCATTAGAAATGAATGGGTTAATACATGTACTATACGTAGAACATTAATAACAGCTTTTGATAACGAATAATCGTTTCCAAATCGTATTATAAAGTTATAATATTGACATTCTGTTGCAATCACATCGTGAAATGGTTAAATATTCGAACAAACTATAAATTTCCATCGATCTTGTATCCTGGTTAAAATTTAATAGGACAATTGTCGGAAGAATATCGAAAAAAATTTCTAAAAACTTTCATAAATAATTGAAAATGAAAAAAAACTTTAAAGATCATTGTATTGACACATGTTTGAATTTGTTTCAAAGCATGCCTTCCATCGATAGAATTCGACTCAATTATATCATTTTCAAAAAAAAAAAAAAATAAACTTTTTCTTCTTCTATTTTCGAGATTAACACAGAATTCATACCTGTCATCCTTCAACCTCCAAGTTTTCGTTTCTTCGATCGCTATTAATTAATCCCATATCTCTTCTTTCCCTCTTGGAGGAGGAATTGCCAACTTCCCTCAAGAGCCGCACAATATCCTCCATCCGACGAGACGTATACGGCTCCGTGAAGAGACGACGAAGGGATGCTAAAAACTTTCTCCAACCTGCTCGTCATAAGTTCGTCATTCATCCAAAGAAAATTCCAGACGGATTATCCACCGTGTTTTCCGCCTCGTCATGTTCTTGCCCAACTTCGGAAGAACGTTCTCTCGCTTAAACTCCGCCGATAAATGGAAGAAAACTGCCGCGTGCCCCCTTCGAGATCTCGAGGAAAAACGAACCGAACCATCGCGTCCCTTTTCTCCTCCATTTTTGCATCCGACAACTCGCGTTCGAACCACCTGTTTCTTAACCAGAATTTGATGCTGTTACCAAGGGAAGAATGAATTTTCGCCGTGGAAAAAAAGTTTCGAAGAAAACGGGCTCTTTTCTGGGCTCCTGTTCGACGATGCGAGGAAGAGGCAAGGAAAAGGAAAAGTTTTCGATGAGATTGTATATATCTCGAACAAAACTCTTCCACGTGGAGATGCAGCGATGGATCTACTTACGACGCTTGTGTTTCTTCGATGAGGATTGAAGGGTGTCTGTCTTTCTGAGAGAAGGAAGATTTTTCTCGATTTCTAATGTATATTTTCCCTCTTCAATTTCT